AAAACAATAAGAGGCTTATTTGGTGGGAAAGAGGTTGGGAGTTATTGCATTAATCTACTTTACAGTGATTCTCAAACTATAGTATATGCATATGGAATGATGGCTTTGTGAGCTAGACTGAGGTTTCCCACCTCTAAATGGAATATTGAGTAAGTTTTTCCCACCTTGCAGGAAAAATTTGTGGATGGGACTTTTAAAAATTATTTGAAATATTTTTTCTCAAAACATTTCCTAAATCCACAACACTGCTTCTGCTTATAGTCAGCTAGCACAGACAAAATGAATGAACATGAAGCTAAGACTGTTAATGAGAAAACTCAAACTCAGAGAAAGCCACGCTATTTGAGATACGGTCATTTTTTGCTCTAAAGATTCCTCCTTCCCATGGTGATATCATTGATGTTTTGCAATGAGTACCCTGAATAACTTTGAGAGCCCCCACTGATAACCCCCACAAATGCAGAGACCTGAGCCATAAGCAGTAGCAGTCTACTGCTCACGTTTGCTGTGACTACCTGCCTGTCTTGGCCTTCATTCCTAGACCTGTTTGAGTACAAGTTTGTGAACAGTCGTCTGGTAAACAGCACATTCCTGCACAACAAAGAGGGCTGCCCACTAGATGTGACAGGAACGGGTGAAGGTGCCTACATGGTATACTTTGTCAGCTTCTTGGGGACGCTGGCTGTGCTTCCTGGGAATATCGTGTCTGCCCTGCTCATGGACAAGATTGGCAGGCTCAGGATGCTTGGTAAGGGGGAGAGACTGAGTGGTGGCTGTCAGAACTGATGGCAGGGGCCAGGGGCTGAGGGAAGCTGCCAACAGGCTTCTCATCTTGGGCTGTGGAAGAGATTGGCCAGGGAGCTCCTCTCTTTCACGTTTTCTGTTAAGGAGATGCTATAGATGGGGTGGGGCTTGACATAGAGCTTCTCTGGGGGAAAAGGAGGTAGGTAGAATAGCAAGTGGTTAGGGAACAGGCTTTGAGGCTATGGGTTTTGATTCTTAGCTCCTCTGCCTACCTTGGGGAAGTTACTTAACCTCCATAAGCCTGGTTTCCTCATCTGCAAATTGGGAGTGATAACAGTACCTGTATTATAGGGTTGATGTACTAGATCAATGCAGGTAAAGCATCAAGGTGCTTGCCCATAACTGGCATTGCATAAAATGGTTGTTAGTGATATTAATAAACAGACAATTATAAGGGAGGTTAAGGATGAGTGAAAAGCCTTCCTTTTGGGTACCTTGAGAGAAAGAGTCTCATTTGGGGCTGTCTCGCAGCTAGCTGGTAGGACAAGGTGGGTTAAGGAGGGGCTTCTTTGTACTCGGTTTCATTCTGCTCTATCCTCTTGGCTTCAGCTGGCTCCAGCGTGATGTCCTGTGTCTCCTGCTTCTTCCTGTCTTTTGGAAACAGCGAGTCGGCCATGATTGCTCTGCTCTGCCTTTTTGGGGGGGTCAGCATTGCATCCTGGAACGCGCTGGATGTGTTGACTGTCGAACTCTACCCCTCGGACAAGAGGTAGTTGGAGTGTGGTGAGGACAGGGCAACAGGTTTAGGGCCTAGAGGGTAGTGGGGGGTGAAGGAGGGAGGCTGAATGGGAAAGGCATCCTCAGGGGTAAGAGGATACACGTTTCAACTGAGTTTCTCTTCTAAAAGCTGGTAGCTTTTTTGTCTACTCCTTTAAGTCTAAACTACTAACCTCAATCTTTGGTTTCCTCTCCCCCTTGTCTCCCAATTTGTCTATATTCCCTGATGTACATCTGTCACCTCTGATCTCTCCATCCTCCCTCTTCCTCTTGGGCTCTGCCTGCCATTTTCCTCGCTTTCACATCCCCACCTACCCACTCTTCCTTTATCTTCCTCCTGGGCCTTGCCGTCTGTACTGCACTGGGGGACTCCTGAGCAGGACCACAGCCTTTGGCTTCCTGAATGCCCTGTGTAAGCTGGCAGCCGTGCTGGGGATCAGCATCTTCACATCCTTTGTGGGAATCACCAAGGCTGCCCCTATCCTCTTTGCCTCAGCTGCCCTTGCCCTCGGCAGCTCTCTGGCCCTGAAGCTGCCTGAGACCCGGGGGCAGGTACTGCAGTGAAGGGGTCTCTGGAGCTTGGGGAGTGGCAGGCACACTGTGAGACCAACAACTCTGTCCTTTCCCTCCCTGCCCTGCCATCCTGGACCCCAGAGTCCTCACTCCCACTTCCCTATGTTTGGTGTCTTAGCTTTGTGTGCGTGTGTGTGTGCATGTATATGACCCTCCTCCCCTACCACCATGGGCAGGGACTACAGGGAAGGCTCCTTCATCCCAGTTTAGGGATGAAGCTCTACTCCCCACTTCCTACTACCCTTGACTTTGCACAAGAGAAGGCTGAGCCCCACCCTTCTCTCCTCCCAGTGTTAGAGAGGGGCCCTTGCTTCCCTGTTCCAGGGGTTCCAGGACAGGCTTCCTGCCTTCCCCCTCATTTCCTTTTGCCTAGGCCCTGGTGAAACCACAGGTAAGCTTTTATGCTGGGGGCTGGGGCTTGGGTGTAGACCATGGACCAAAAGAACTTCTTAAGAGTCTGAAGGAAGGGCCTCGGGTGCCCTCTCACACCTCCTGCTGGATGCTGGGGGTGTAGCAATAAACCTCAGCCCTTGGCCTCCAACTTCCCCCTCAATTTGGGCTGAAGCCAATTTTATGAAATTAGCTTTCTGATCTTTATTTATATATTAAGTTCTGAGGCAGCTCAACAGGACTGTGTGTGTGAATGTGTGTGTACACTTGCATATGTGTGTGCATGTGCCATGGGGCGGGGCTGTCATTATACTGTCCTAAAATATAATCCAAGGATAATTTCAACAGACACATACAACCCTGCCTCCTATAGTACCTCCCCAAATCTCGTTTCTGTGTCGAGCTTGGGAGGGAGGAGCCCTAAGCCAGGCTGGGAAGAGAGTCCCACTGCCTAGGGAGATCTGAGAACCCCTGACAAGGCCCATCTCCTTCTCAAGAAGCACAGGCCTCCTCTTGAGTAAGAGGCCTTCACCCACTCCAGCATAAACAGGAACAGCACAGCTGCCCTCCCACACCTCAACCTGTCCCCTCACAGGCAAGGGAACAGGGAGGGAAAGAAATCAGGCATATGGTCAAACCAGCAGATCAAAAAGCACAAGGAGCTGGGGCAGGGGCAGGAAGCAGGGGCCTCCCAGCAATTCCTCTAAAAGTCGGGACAGCTTGGGCAGTAGTGAGGGACCCCTAATGCAGGGACCAGAAGCCTCAGTTTCCCCATCTCACCCTTCCACACAATAGCCTCTGTAGGTTAGGCTGCCCCGTCCCACCCTACTCTGTGTGGCTGCTTTCTTTTGTGCCCTCCCCTCAACCCCACTGTAGCTGTGACGTGTTAGTTTTTAGCTGTTTGTAAAATGTTTAAAAAAAAGTTAAAAGGAAAAAAGTGAAAATAACAAAAAAAGAATATTCAAATTCACCCTCCTCATGCTGCGTCCAGTGCCCTGTGGTCACTCACCCCATTTTGTAACACTGAACCAGGTGGTGACTGTTTAACTCTTTGGTGTTTGTGCTCAAAAGACTGCCTTCTCCTCCAGTGCCCAGTGTACGAGTGTGTGCTCTGTGCCCTCTTCCCTGACCCTTCACTTGCTGGACGTAGCCCTCTGCCCTGCATCCCTGGGAGGGACCCATCCATCTCCCTTGCTCTACTGGGGAACCCTCATCCCAACTCCATTGATGTGAAAAATGCAATGAAAAATATTGATGAAAAATAAAAAGGAAACAAATCCTTAAAATACAAAATGGCTATGTCTGCTTCTATGCCTCCACCTCCACCCAGCCTTCCTAACAGTCCTGGGAGGGTAAAATGGTGAGATGGAAAACAACTGTCTCTCTAAACTGAAGGCTAGAAAACATGATATATCCCATTTACTTCCTAAATTAACCTCTCAACCCCGACTTTTCCACTTCTGCAAAGGGCCCTGTAAGTCTGCCAAATTTGAAAACTTGGGAGTAATGTTTCTTAACAATAGAATCAACTTTCCTCCAAATCTTCTGTTGTGCCTTTTAAAAATGTAGATTTTACTCCATTCCTGACTTGTGGAATCAGAATCCTTTTTTTTTTTTTTGAGGAGTAGGGACCTTGAATCTACATTTTAAACAAACTCCCTTGGAAAGTCTTACCCACGAGCAAATTTGGATTCCCCTCTCACTCTAGTCCATTTCTGTTCTAATCAAGCCATTTTGTGATTAAATACAACAAAAAAGTAGCTCTCAAATCAACTATTTCCTTTCCACTACCACAGCAGACCCCTAAATCAGGGTTCTACCTTCACTCAATTGATCTCTGCGCCTCCAATCTCCCCTGCCAACCCACTTACACATTACTGCCAGATCAGTCTGCCCCCAAATGTTCTCTGGCATGCCTTTACTAAAAATACTTCAATGACTCCCTACTGTCCACCAGATGCATCCTAAACAGAAATGGTCTACATGTTCACCAAGCTTTTTCTCTAATACTTCCCACATTGAGATTTCGGGAAGTTGTTTATATAGATAGTACTAGAGCTCCCCTCTGAAACATGACTTAACATTTGGAAGGCTCAGAAGAAAAAGGGTTACATAAAGCTTTCTCCATCTTCTGTAATATTTTCTAGGTTGTCACCCCCTTTTCACTGCTTTAGTGGTATTAAAAAAGTTTTTCTTATAAAGAAGTACATGTACTACTTTTTGGAAGAGGACAGGCTGTTAAAAAGCCAAATATTCCCCCAATATGAAATTCAAATGTGTCCCTGTCTTATCTGATAACTTACGCCCCGTCCAGCAACTATGAATTTGCTCAGGTTCTTCCCAGCCTGCAACACCTATCCTCTTTCTGGTTAATTCTGTGCTTTCATGTTAAAGAGTCAACAAGGTCACATCCCCCATGAAGCCCTTCCTGACTACCTAGTCTACATTTACCTTTCTTCTCCCAAGAACACTTGTAGCACTGATTCAACAGCTCATTAAGAACATAGTAATGCACCTTATATTGTAATTTCTCTTTTAATGTACAGGATTGTTTCTAATCGGGTCTAGTGCAGTTTCTTAGTCACAATTCAACATGGAAGTAATGAGCAGCCCTTCCTGAATAGTCCAGGAAAAAGCAGTAGGGAGTGATTCTGTTCTTTCCTTGGGTTACTATCTCGGGGAGAATATGTATGGACCCATAGAATGGGGCCCAGGGGTCCTCGCCCCTTATAATCCTGGACTGTACTGAGGGAGGAGGCCTCAGTAGTTCATTCTCACCCAGCCCGTTGGATCTTGATCCTTCCCTGCTCTTGGAGTTCAGGGGGTTCCTCGAGTCTTCTTGTTCCCACCCAGGCAGGGGGGGCTAGTATCCAGCTGAGGGTTCTCCCTCCACTGGGTGGGGGTCCGTGCCTGGATGGCCAGCGCATGGACAGGCCCGGCCAGCTCCTCGGACAGCGCCGCGTGGACCAGCCGGTGCCGTTGCAGGGGGCTCAGTCCCTCGAAACGAGAGCTCACCACAGCCACGCGGAAATGTGTCTCGCTGCCTGGGGGGACTGCGTGGCCGCCGCTCTCGTTGCACAGCTCCAGCACTTCAGGGCTCAGGGCCTGCTCCAACTTCGCGCGAATGGCGGCCTCCACTGGACCAGCGGTCCGGGATCCCGCGCTGCCTCGGGATCCACAGACGCTACTAGCCATGGAGACCAGGCGCTGGATCCGCCGCCCACTCAGCATCGGCTACGGTAAAGAGGCGGACGCAAGGAGTGAGGGTCAGGGCCTGCAGCTTGTTGACAGCCCAGTCTCACCGCCCGCCCCCGCAGTCCCCGCAACCCTCCCAACCCCCCGCGAAGTCCACAACCGGTGCCCGTAGGGAGCCCGCCTTGACGCCACACAAGACCCGAGAGACCGCCCCTTTTCTCTGTGTGACGTGGGGGAATTTGGCCTGCAGCTGCGGGCAGAGAGGAGGGACAGAGGCGATTAGAGAGGACCGCAAGGCGCGTTCGTTCCTACGCGGATTTGCAAGGAATACGGCGGGAGGTTGCAGAGCAGGGTATGTGGAACTCCGTGCTTGTGGCTGAGCCGATGCCCCTGCGTTCCCAGGCTGGGCCCTGTCTACCTGCCGCTCAGCCTCGGCTACAGCAAGTCCCGCCCGGAGTTCCGACGATCCGGAAGAAAGCGCTGTCCCGGAGTCCCGAGGCACGCTGGGAAATGGAGTCCTCGCTGCGCGTTGGTAGGACGGGCGGGCACCACGTGGTGCCCCGAGGGTTTAAGGGAACTGTAGTCTCTGCTTCTCCCAACTCGTGAGGGCGTCAGAAGCCCTGAACCCAGCGATGCAAAAAAAAGACGGATTTTCTGCGTAGTTGAATAGATCATTCTATTTATTTTATTGCCAAAAGATCTTGTAGATCATCTAGCCCAGCTCCTTTATTTTACCTGCAAGAAAACGCAAGTCCATTCCATTGATTGAATACATAATTATTGTATGCTAGACCCGTGCTGTAGACTGGAGAGTAAAGACAAACACTGTCTTCGAGGAGTCTAAAGAACACTGGAGAAGACAGATGAACAAGTGGGCAGACAATTGCGATACTGTGTGCTAATTGCTATAGTGAGACCGCATAGGATACCAAGTAAGCAAGTCACCCAGACTTGGGGTGGGGGAGGGGAAGTGGTGGCAGAGAAAATTTCCAAGAGAAGATTTAGGGGAATAGTCTCAAATGAACCGCTTGAAAACCCATTTCCCAGTCCCTCCTAGCAAGGCTGTGACTGTGGTGACCACATGTGCAAAGGCCAAGAGGAGACAGAACTTCCAGGGAGTCGTTCCTTCTGGTATAGTTAGGGTGTGGTGATGTAGAGTTGGAGCCCAGGTAGCAGAGATGATGGTAATGAGTAAGGTGTGGGCAGAAGAAGCAAGAGTCAGACCATGCTAGTCCTTGTAGCCCTTGCTAGGGGATTTTGTCTTTATCCTAAGAGCAGTGGAAAGCTAGTGAAGGTTTTAAGCAGGGATGAAACAGGATGAGATTTTCCCAAGATGATACATAACTTTTAAATTGTTTTAGATTTTATTTTGTATCCCTAATATTTTATATATCTACCTATTTCTAAGTATTTTCTCCAACTTCTCATTTTGAAAAATTTCAAACCTTTAGAAAAGTTGAATAGCACAAAGCAACATCCTCCACCTTTCACTTGATTTGCCATTTTTTACATTTATTTGTATCATATACTTATATATATATATTTATGTATTTAAGTACTTTATGCATACTTAAGAATATATTTATATACTTTCTTGGATGAATCATTTGAAAATAAGTTGCAGATAGATAGACCTCTAAGTAGACATGTGTCTCCTAGGAACAAGGATATTCTGCTATATAACTTCAATACCCTCATCACACTAAAAAAATTCAAGATATAATGACAAGTAATATTTTCCTTAGTCTTTAAAAAAATTTTAAAATGTCAGAAAATAGCAAAATTGTACAATGAGCAACCTACTTACCTACCCTTCATCTAGATTCACCAATAACATTTTGCCAGATTTGCTTTGTATCTCTTTGAATATGTGTATGTAATAATAATAATAATAATAAAATTATTATTATTTCTGCTGAATCACTTGAGTTAGGTGCAAAATTTTTCATACTTCAAGGCTGTATACTTTCAACATATATCTTCTAAAAACAAGGACATTTTCATATATAACCACAATGCCATTAACACACCCAAGATATTTAACATTCATATAACACTATTATCTAATATACAGCTGATGTTCATATTTCTCCAGTTGTCTCATTGGTGTCTGCTATGGTTTGAATGTGTCCGATCCAAAATTCATATTGAAACTTCATACCCATTGTATTGGTATTAAATGGTGGGGCCTTTAGGAGGTGATAAGGCTATGAGAGCTCCACTCTCAAGAATGGATTAATGCTTTATGGAAGGGCTTGTAAGGAGTGAGTTCGCCCCTCTGTCCCCTCTGCCGTGTAAGACACAAATGACACCATCTATGAGAAACTGGCCTTCACTAGATACTACACATGCTAGTGCTTTGATCTTGGACTTTGAGCCTCCAGAACTGTGAGAAAATTAATGTTCTTTATAAATTACACAATCTGTAGTATTTTGTTATAGCAGCACAGACTAAGACAGTATCCTTTATAATATTTAATTTTTAGAAATGCAATCAAGGATCATGCATTGCATTTAGTTGACTTTAAATTTGTATTCTGTTCTTGTTCTTGGGAGAAATATATTGAAAGTATATAGCAGTGAAGTATAAAGAATTTTGTATCTAACTCAAGTGATTCAGCAGAAATTATTATTATTTTATTATTGTTATTATGCACAAAGATCACTGGCTGCAAGGTGAAGAATGAATCCTAGAGGAGGCAAGAATGGAAGCAGGGAGACCAACTGGGAAGTTATTGTAACGGTCTAAATAAGAGATGATGATGATGACTTGGACCAAGGTGGCAGTTTCAGTGATGGTGATGGAGAGAAATTATGACTACAAGATATATAGTAGGAAAGTAAAATCTATATGATATGGTAATGGCTTGGTTATAGGAGGGGAAGTGTCAAGGATAACTAACAGGTTTGTGCATCTAAAGTGATGAAAAAAGTACAATTAAAAGAAAAGTACAAATAATTCCTGTATATCCTTCACCCTAATACCCAGATTACCCAAATATTAATATTTTACCATGTTTGCTTTATTTCCATGTATCTATCTACACATATATAATTTTTTCTGAACCGTTTGAGAAATAAAGCACAACTTGACCAGGCTAAGACTGGTGTCCAGGTATTTGGTCAAACATTATTAGTTTGAATGAGACTAACATTTGAATTGGTAGACTGAGTAAAGCAAATTGTCATCCCTAAGGTTGGCAGGCCTCATTCAACCAGTTGAAACCCTGACAAGAACAAAAAGACTGACCTCCTGAGTAAGAGAATATTCCTCCTGCCTTGGGACTTGAATGTTGGCTTTTTCTTGTCTTTGTTTGTTTGTTTGTTTGTTTATTTGAGTTGGAGTCTCACTCTGTCGCCCAGACTGGAGTGCAGTGGCCGCTCCCGGCCACTGCAGCCTCGCCTGCTGGGCTCCGGCGATCCTTCCGCCTCAGCCTTCCAAGTAGCCGGAATTACAGGCGCACGCTACCACGCCCGGCTGATTTTTTCATTTATTGTAGAGATGAGGTCTCGCCAAGTTGCCCAGGCAGGTCTTGAACCCGCGGGCTCATGCAATCCACTCACCTCAGCCTCCCAAAGGCGCGGGATTACAGGCTGAGCCACCGAGTCCAGCTTATTTTTTATTTTTATTTTTTGAGTTGGAGTCTCACTCTGTCGCCCAGACTGGAGTGCAGTGGCCGCTCCCGGCCACCGCAGCCTCGACCCGCTGGGCTCCGGCGATCCTTCCGCCTCAGCCTTCCAAGTAGCCAGAACTACAGGTGTGCGCTACCACATCCGGCTATTTTTTTTATTGTAGAGACGAGGTCTCACCAGGTGGGTCTGGAACCCGCAGACTCAGGCAATCCACTCGCCTTGGCCTCCCAAAGTGCTGGGATTACAGACTGAGTCACCGAACCCAGCCTTTCCTGTCTTTAGACTCAAATGGAAACATTGGGTCTGCAGCCCGGCCTTTGGACTGGTACTATGCCACTGGTTCTCAGGTCTTTGGACTTGGACTGCAACCGCATCAACCACTTTCCTAGGTCTCCAATTTGCCAATTCACCTTGAAGATTTTGGGGATCTTGGGACTTGTTAGCCTCCATAATCAAAGAGCTAATTCCTTATAATAAAACTACCCATCCATCCATCTATCTCCTATTGGTTCTGTTTCCCTGAAGAACCCCTAACTAATGCATATTTACTTAAAAAAAAAAAAAAAGACATTTTCTCTCATAACCAGAATGTGTCAAATTCTAGAAGTTAGCATAGATACAGTGCTATATATGTATAGCACTGTGTGGGTGTGTGTGTGTGTGTGTGTGTGTGTGTGTGTGTGTGTGAATCTGGAGTCAGAGGCTCACTCTATCTCCCAGGCTGGAGTGCAGTGGCCACCACAGCCTCGACCTGCTGGGTTCAGGTGATCCTTCTGCCTCAGCCTTCCAAGTAGCTGGAACTACAAGCGCACACCACCACACCCAGCTAATTTTTTGATTTATTGTAGAGATGAGGTCTCGCCATGTTGCCCAGGCTGGTCTTGAACCTGTGGGCTCAGGTAATCCTCTCGCCTTCACCTCCCCAAAGTGCTGGGGTTGCAGGTTTGAACCACCATGCCCAGCAATACAATGCTATTATCTAATCTTCAGGCCTTATTCAAAATTTGCCAATTGTTTCACTACTATACTATGTATAAAATGAAAAAAAAAAGTTCTGATTCAGGATCCAATCTAGGATCACATGTTGCATTCAGTCATGTCTCTTTGGTCTCTATTAATCTGGAATAGGTCCTCAGTCTTTGTCTTTCATGACTTTGACATTCTTGATAAGTACAGACATATATTTTGTGGAATGCCCCTCAATCTAGCTTTGTTTAATGTTTCTCTATGATTAAGATTTAGCATATGCATTTTTTGTAGGAATACTGCAGAAGTGATGTTGAGTCCCTCTCAATGAACCTTACCAGGGTGCACATGATGTTGATTTTTTCCATTAGTAGTGATAATTCTGATCACTTGGTTAAGATGGTATCAGTCGGTGTCTCCACTGTAAAATTATTCTTTTTCTGTCCATAATTGTCAGACATACTTTGAGGCTATGTTATTTCCCATTTCTCATTAAGCTTTGTCCACTAATTTTAGCATCTGAGAAGTATACTTAAGGCATTTCTTAGTCAGGAGTTACCAAAGATGATATGAGGTAGATAAGTGAGTAGGCATGGGTTGTAGTGAAAAAAGAATCTGAATATTTCTTTAAAAGACCACTCTGGCTACTATGTGTAGAATATATTTGAAGACTGGGAGGAGTGGAAGCAGGAAGGAGTAGTAAAGTGTTTGTTAGTTGCATGGGTGAAGGCAGGAGATGGACTATAGAGAAGAAAACTGATTAGAAAGAAATGGGCATCTATAAGACTTGTTTTTGTTCAGGTCTTGCAACTTGCTAGTCCAGTGACAGTGGTAGGGAGAGGTAGGAGGCTGTATTGAGGGAAAACCTAGGTGTGGAGGTGATATTTAAACAGAGATTTTACCAACTACAAATTTTTAAACATAAATATGGAAAGAGAGATTCTGGCACAGGGAATGGTATCACTATATTCTAGATGTGTTATGCCAAGCTCAGTGTTGGCATACTTAGGTGTTCAGTAAAATGTTTTGGATGGATGAGTGAATTAATGTTATGAGTGGGAGGGCCAACATCATTATTATTCCTATGGTAATAATAAACAGAAGCTCTGCAAGTTGCAAGCTTCAAAGAGCAAGTTTATTGTCTTTGTTTCTTAAAAAACATAATTACAATAATATCTACTATTTACTGAGGGTCTTTCTTGGCCAGATTAAGGCTTTTAGAAGCTTTAAGCACTGAGAGATTATGGTAACCACCTTATGTGTAATTAAACAAAACAGAACAAACAAAAATAAACACACTCATCTGTTACATGAGGATTAGAACACCAACCAGGTACTCATTGTTTTTCCCTAGGATGATTACTTCACTATTTTTTCATTTCAAAAAATTAATTTGTGCTTATTGAATATAATTTACATATAACAAGAGATTTACAAATCTTAAATGTACAGCTTAATTTTACATATGAACACACCCATATCAAAATACAGACATTTCCAGCACCTCAAAAGGCTCCCAGGGAAGTCGATACTACCTTACCACAGGTAATCATTATTCTAAATTTTATCAATCATAGATTAGTTTTTTATTCTAACCTTTATCATCCATAGATTAGTTTCGCCTGTTTTTGAGCTTCATATAAATAGAATCACACAGTACGAATTCATTTGTGCTTGTCTTCTTTCACTCAGCATTATGTCTGTGAGCTCCACCCATATGTGGTAGTAATTTGTTCATTTTCGTTGTTGTATAGTGTACTACATTCTTTTTTTTTTTTTGAGTTGGGGATCACACTTTGTTGCCCAGACTGGAGTGCAGTGGCATGAACCACCACTCTCAGTTCTAATATACTGCATTCTTTTTTTTTTTGAGTTGGAGTCTCACTCTGTCACCCAGACTGGAGTGTGGTGGCACACTTCCGGCCACTGCAGCCCCGACTTACTGGGCTCCGGCAATCCTTCCGCCTCAGCCTTCCAAGCAGATGGAACTACAGGCACACGCTACCATGCCCGGCTAGTTTTTTTGATTTATTGTAGAGACGAGGTCTCGCCAAGTTGCTCGGGTGGGTCTCAGACAATCCTCTCTCCTCGGCCTCCCAAAGTGCTGGGATTACAGGCTGAGCCACTGAGCCTGGCCTATACCGCATTCTTGTACAGATTTTTGTTGGACTAAACATTCACTTCTGTTTGGTATATATTTAGAAATGGAATTTCTAGGCCATAGGGAAAATTCAATGTTTATTTTTGAAATGAAAAATTTATTCAAGCCAGGCACAGTGGCTAACGCCTGTAATTCCAACACTTTGGGAGGCAGAGGCGAGAGGATTGCCTGAGCCCAGGGTTTGAGACCAGCATGGGCAACTTGGCGAGATCTGTCTCTACAATAAATCAAAAAATTAGCCGGATGTGGTGTCAGGTACCTGTAGTTCCAGCTACTTAGAAGGTTGAGGGGAAAGGATTGCCTGAACTCAGCAGGTTGAGGCTGTGGTGGCCCTGAGCACGCCACTACACTCCAGTCTAGGCAACAGTGAGACTCCAACTCAAAAAAAATTTATTCAAACAGTTTTTGGGATGCCTCTGCTTTATTGGTACCAGATACTCTCCTAAATGTTTTATATTCATAAACTCTTTTAATTCTTACAACAATCCCACTAAGTGGCTACTATTATTATTCTTGCTATACCAATGAGGAAGCAGAGAACTTTAGAGGTTAGGTAACTTGCCAGTGGTCACAGAGCTGGTAAACAAACCCAGAGAGTCAGGCTGCAGAGTTTGCACTTTTAATCATTAAGCTATCCTGCCTCTGTATTAGTTAGGGTCCTCCAGAGAAACAGAACCAATAGGATATATTTAGACATACAGATTTATTATAAGGGATTGGGCTCATGTGATTATGGAGGCTGCCAGGTTTCACGATCTACTGTCTGTAAGTTGCAGAACAGGAAAGCTGGTGATATTATTCCAGTTCAAGGGAACCAGGGGAGCCAATGGTGTAAATCCCAGTCCAAAGACCCAAGAACCGGGGGTCGATGGTGTGAGTCCCCAGAGCCAGGAACAGTGATGTCCAAGGACAGAAGACGGATGCCTCACCTCAAGTAGAGATCAAATTTGCCCTTCCTCCATCATTTTGTTCTTTGTTAAGACCTTTAATAGATTCAAATGCTAATCTCTTTCAGAAACACCCTCACAAGCACACCCAGAAATAATGTTTGGGTTTTTCTTTTTGAGCTGGAGTCTCACTCTGTTGCCCAGACTGGAGTGCAGTGGCCGCTCCGGGCCACCGCAGCCTCAACCCGCTGGGCTCGGGCGATCCTTCCACCTCAGCCTTCCAAGTAGCTGGAACTACAGGCACACGCTACTACACCCGGCTAATTTTTTGATTTATTGTAGAGATAAGGTCTCTGCAATAACTCTACAAGTTGCCCAGGCAGGTCTCGAACCCGCGGGCTCAGGCAATCCACTCACCTCAACCTCCCAAAGCGTGGGATTACAGCCTGAGCCACCGAGCCCGGCTTCAGTCTCATATTTTTATCCTGAAATAGAATAATCAGAAAGTTGTTAACTGAGCACAGAATCTGAGTGAAAAGACTTGGATAGTCTTCAGAAATATTTCACCCAGGCTGTGAAAAAACAGTCGGTGCTTTCATAACCAAAGACCCTTCTCTAGTAAGTAGCCCAAACCTTTGTGGCTTCCAGAAAATGTACTTTTAGTTTTGGAGAAACACAGTGTATTCCTACTATAATTGCCACCTATTTATACTCTATGTGTACCACACTTTTGTGTTAACACACTCATCTTCTCAAATGATCAATTGGGTTAGAATTATCTTAGGTTACCTTCTACTATCGAGGAAACAGCTGCATCACCTCTGATTGAATTTGAGTGTTTCCCAAATCTATACCAGCATTCTTACGAGGAGTAATCTCTACACATAGCTGATACTAACTTTCAGAGTTCATTAGCTTTCCTCCACTTTCTGGAGGCATTCCATCAGACTTGTTGTACTAGTCTCAATTACCTGTACACCCATTGCCCAATAGCTAGCACTCAATAAATGCCAGTTGGAAAAAGGCAAGGAAAAAAGAGAGAACATCAGACAAGTGCTCAAAGAACAGAATTTAAGTTTATTCTTTTTTCTATAGCAGGAAAGGGTGAAAATGGTGTGGGAGACATGGAAGTTACAGGGAAGGGAAACTGGGAAGAAACAGAAAAGCTTTCAGGAAAGACTTTTAAGGGCATTGGAGAATTATGCAAGCAATTAGTGGCTGCAAGTAAAGTTAACCTTCAGGAGCTGTTGTTGAAATCTAAGGGAACGTGATGAGGTACACAAAGGAGCATGGAGAAAAAATCTGAATGTCAAGGATGTTAAGGAAGTAATTGACTGGATAGGATGTTGAGACAAGGTAAGAGTAGATTTTGGTTTAGGTACCTGGGAAAGACGGAAGGGTGGAAGCGGTCTGCATGATTTCGCCTTTGGATGGATTGAGGTTGAGTCTGAGATGCCTGTTGGGACAAATGGATTGAAAGTACCCAGTAAGCAGTTAGGTATAAGGGTCTGGGTTTCTGAAACAAATATGGATGTTAGTTGAAAGCATGGAAATGGGTAAGTCTCTTAGGAAAGAGTGAAGAATTGGAGATACGGAGACAGAGTTCAGTTGGACTCGAAGATTTAGGGATAGACAGAGAAATGGGAGCAGGATAGAAAAGTCAGCAAAGAAAAAAACGGAAAGCGACATTTTGAAAGCCAAGGGAGCAAGTTTCACGGCATCGGACGCCTCCTGGAGGTCAAGAGGAGGAAGACAAAATTATTCTAGCCTTGGTCAAACCCCATTCCGAGCAGCGCAGGCGGGTGGGGAGTAGGGCAAAGCTACACAGCGGTCAGCGACTAAACTAAGGAGAAAGGAGGCAGACTTAGGGGAACATATATTTTTTAAAGGGAGCTTGACTGTGACGAGACAAAGACGGGATTTGGAGAGTAATTTAGGACTCAAAGGAATAATCGACTTCTGAGTCCCATACCTACGAGTGAAAGTCAATATCCGACTGCCTGGTGTCCTCTGCCGTCCTTTAGTGTCCATTTTGGGATTTCCCTGCAGTAAACCGAGGGAAAAATAAAAATAAAAACTGACAGGCCCTAAAGTGCCACTCAGTAAAAAAAAAGAACCAGTGTTTTGTTTGAACGCTTACTCTCTTGAAAAGTCCTGGCATGCAAATAAGGTGCTTTAATGTGGCTCTCAGCGATTGGTGAGTATTTACAAATCCGTCATTTCCTCTTAGTGCAGAATGCAAACCAAGTGCCTGCTTTCTGCTTTTCTATTGGCTGTCTCATCCGGCTCCGCTTCTAGCCAATCAAACTACTTCCCTTCACCCCTCCCGGTAGCTCTTATAAATTACATCAAATTGGTTATCCTTTCCACATCCTTCTCCTTGAAAAAGAAGGTGTAACTGCATTTTTAGCCGTAATGTCAGGACGCGGAAAGCAAGGAGGCAAAGCTCGCGCCAAGGCCAAGTCTCGCTCTTCCCGCGCCGGCCTCCAGTTCCCGGTGGGGCGAGTACACCGCCTGCTGCGCAAAGGCAACTACGCCGAGCGGGTGGGCGCCGGCGCGCCGGTGTACTTGGCGGCGGTGCTCGAATATCTGACCGCGGAGATCTTGGAGCTGGCGGGCAATGCGGCCCGAGACAACAAGAAGACGCGCATCATTCCTCGCCATCTGCAACTTGCCGTAAGGAATGACGAAGAGCTCAACAAGTTACTCGGGGGTGTCACCATTGCCCAGGGCGGCGTCTTGCCCAACATACAGGCCGTCCTGTTGCCTAAAAAAACAGAGAGTCACAAACCTGGCAAGAACAAGTAATGATCAGGACGCTTGACAGCATACCCAATACCCATTCACCCCAAAGGCTCTTTTAAGAGCCACCAAAGTATCAAATGAAGGGCTGGTAACAAAACAGCACATTATAGCTCTTTTTTTGAAAACTTGGGTGGCTCTAAAAAGAGCCGTTGGTCTTTGGTTTAGTTTGTCTGGGTTCATTTGCTTTTGGCTTTGTGGCTTTCGGTTTTCTTTGGTAAAAGAACGGCCTGGATGTTGGGCAACACGCCGCCCTGGGCGATGGTGACTTTGCCCAGCAGCTTGTTCAGCTCCTCGTCGTTGCGGATGGCCAGCTGCAGGTGACGAGGGATGATGCGCGTCTTCTTGTTGTCTCGGGCCGCGTTGCCGGCCAGCTCCAGGATCTCGGCGGTCAGGTACTCCAGCACCGCCGCCATGTACACCGGCGCGCCGGCGCCCACCCTCTCGGCGTAGTTGCCTTTGCGCAGCAGGCGGTGCACCCGACCCACCGGGAACTGGAGGCCGGCGCGGGAAGAGCGAGACTTGGCCTTGGCGCGGGCCTTGCCTCCTTGCTTGCCACGACCAGACATGACTGAAATCAAGGCTGAAAACAGACAAAGCTCAGAACCTCGCAACACAACAAGACTGAAAGAGAACTAAGAAGAAAGCCTTTATAAGCTTTCCTAGGGGTGGAGTCAGGAGCGAGTTTTTCATTGGTCCTAACTTGGCTCCAGAAACAGCCAATCAAGTCAAGAGTCGGTGTCGTTACGTAGTTATTACAGAAAACGCAAGGTCCCTACATCAACCAATGGGAATGAAGGGCTTTTGGAGCCCTAATTTGCATAAGGTGGTTATAAAAGCGTCAAGCCCGCCCATTCTCGTACTTCTTTTCTTTCCTGAATCGTGTTTGTGTTGTGACTTGCCATGCCTGAGCCGGCAAAATCCGCTCCTGCTCCTAAGAAGGGCTCCAAGAAAGCCGTCACCAAGGCCCAGAAGAAGGACGGCAAGAAGCGCAAGCGCAGCCGCAAGGAGAGCTACTCCATCTACGTGTACAAGGTACTCAAGCAGGTCCACCCCGACACCGGCATCTCGTCCAAGGCCATGGGCATCATGAACTCCTTCGTCAACGACATCTTCGAGCGCATCGCCGGCGAGGCGTCCCGCCTGGCGCATTACAACAAGCGCTCGACCATCACTTCCAGGGAGATCCAGACGGCCGTGCGCCTGCTGCTGCCTGGCGAGCTGGCCAAGCACGCCGTGTCCGAGGGTACCAAGGCGGTCACCAAGTACACCAGCTCCAAGTGAGCCCTGCCTGGACCGAGCGCTCGCCCGTTCGCGCGATTCGCCGGCCGCTTGACTCCAAAGGCTCTTTTCAGAGCCACCCACCCAATCACCAGAAAAGAGCCCTGTTCACTTATGTTTCCTCTTAGTGTCTTCTCACAAAGTAAGTTGTTTTAGTTTAAAGGTCACAGAAGATGGCACACATAGCTTTTTAGTCATTTGGGACGCTAGGTTCTTTGCTCACCATTGGATTTGGTTTACAGTGCGTCTTTTATTCATCGTACTCGTTTTTTCTTATGAGTCAGTTCTAAATCAGGATTTTGGGAACCCTAACCCCTCCACCGACCTCCCACCCCTGCTTCCGCACTGGTGTTCCGGTGGCTTCGTTGGGTATGGTTTCAACGTTTTAAATCGAAGTGACTGAAATAGGCCATAATTTAAGTGAGCTCCAGGACACAAACCCAGGTCCCGCACACACTGACAGCTCGGTGCGACTGAAGCTTGGCGGCCGCTTGAGTTCAACCACCAGTCTGTCCTGTGGATATCAGCAGCTCTGTGTACTCTGGGCGGAGCGCGCGCAGGCAGGTCCCAGCCTTTTCCTGATTGGGCGATATTATTATTCAAAGTTCTGCGCCGTCCTGTAATTCGTAAATTTGATTTTCCGCCGTTCACTTTGGGACTTTGAAATTCCTACTGTTTCTCGGTTTGTTTATAACTTTTGCATTTGATGTTCTCTGTAACGCTCGGACCCCGGGTCACTGCAGGCACTTGCCATTTAGATCTGGGCTCAAAAGTCATTTCTTGGAGACCTCCTATATCATCTACTCAGGAAGTCGCGCCCTTTGTTCCTGTCCGTTTTATCTTCCTCGCAGCAGCTATCTGAAACTGGTTTGTTAGCTTGTTTATGGTTTATTCTTCTCAAGTCCTTGACGGACTTTGTTGATCTTGTTTTCCCCTGCATCTTCAGCGCCAGTCAGTGCCTGGCACATTGTGGACACAAATACTACTTATTGAATTAATCTTTTGGAGTTAATTTTTCGATTCCACTCCTTTCTTAATCGCTTCCGTGGATGCATGGGTGTTGTTCATTTTCAAAAGATGTATGTGAAGACATGGTGAAAACGGAAATGCTTTTGGAGCTCCTTCCCCAAATCTATCCTTAGTTACCTCAGTGCAACAGCTGGCAGGGGGGCCGTGTTAAAGATTCTTTTAGCGTCAAAGAGGGGGTGGCAATGGTAGGTCCTCTCTATGCTTCTCTATTTAGTTAACCTCTTTTGGATTTGTTTCAAAGTCAGCGTGTTTGTTTACTGGAAAGAGACTTTTTTTCCTTCTCCTTTTCTTACACCCCCATCTCCATCCTGATTCTCTGTTCCCCACTGACTTGAGCTTTTAATTTACACTCACCACCTCCTTTGCTTTACAGGAGGCCCTGGGAGATAGGCAGGACTACAGAGTTCATCTCCCTTCTACAAATGAGGCTGAGAGAAGCTAAGGGGTCCACGATCCTGCAGCCAACACTCTCTACCTTTCTATCCTGGGAAGGAAGTTATAAGTGAGGAAGGGGGAAGAGGTTGATAGAGTTTGGTATTTTAACTCTGGAGGGGAAGTTTGTCAGTGATGTTGAGATTAATTCAAATGCAGTATGATCGCATTTGAGTTTTATTTTGTGGAATTATGGAATATTTAATCTTTCTGTCCAAGCCTTGATTTTGCTGAGGAAGACACAGATGGTCCAATCAGTTATTCAACTTGATTTTTGGTTAAGTGCTTCTGGAATTGATTGTAGGGGTTTCATGAATCCAAATGTGCTTCAGGCATTATCATAGACCCAATAAATCATATGTTTCCTACGTGTATTTTCAAATATGTACAGATGCTATTGTTATTAATAAAGTTACCAATTAATTTAAAAGTTTTTTTGGTATGATTTTATTTGCAATATATTTTCTCAGCACTGAGTCTGTGGAAAAGCTGGGTATCTCTGACCTGCACAATGAATATTAACAACCTATCAGCCAACTGCTATCCCAGAGGAGCACTGAGACTGAAATAGTCTGTTACAAGGCCACTGTAACTGCTTGGTCATTGAAAAATATATGACCATAAATAAGAAGCAATACAAATAAGATGGATGAAATGAAGTCTTAATCAAGTTTTGCTAACACAGGGCACTTACTATGTTCCTGGCAGTGTTCTAGACCTTTCATATATATTGATTCATTTAATCTTCACATGGACCTCATGAAGTAAGTACCATTGTTATTACTTATTTCACAGACAAGAAAACTTAGGCACAGAGAAGCCTTTACTCAGAAACTCTTCAGAGAATAAGCTCCTACTTCAGTGCTTAAGGGACTGAAGAAAGTAGAGTCACACTTTGAAAACTGAATCCCTCCCTGGATTCTAAGGGGGGATATCTATACTTTAGAATGAAAAGAAATATCGTGCTTTATTCTCTTCAGTAATGCACCCTGGATATAAATTCTGGGTAGTGGTGGCTGAATACCTCGAGGGCGGGATGGGTAGCCTCTAATTCTTCGTCTCAGAGGCCATAGCTTCAACTCAGTTTAGCTTGTCCCTACAGTGGTGGGATTTACCAGTAGGGATTCTTTCACTACATGAGTGAGCCTTCGTTGTGAATTTCAGGCTCCTCCTGAGTATGATGTTCACTGGTAGGAAGTTCCAGTGAGGAAGAGGTGATAGTGTTTGGTATTTTAAGTCTGGAGAAAAAGTAATCAGCGATGGTGAGATTCTCCTAGAGAACCTCTTTGATCATTTTTTCCTTCTGCTCAAACATCTTTAAATGTTTGCTTATGTTGGGGTTAATAAAATAATTGTTATAATAACAATTTCTTCCACTTACTGAGCACTTAACTATTTACCTGGGTTCTCTGCTAAGTGGCTTACATGCATTGTCCATTTACACAAGCATCTTTTAAGATAGGCTCTATTATTATCATCCCTCTTACAGATAAAGGAAACTGAGCCTCAGAAAGGTTAATTAATTTGTCCAGGATCATTCAGTAAGTAGTGGAATTGCAACCCAATGCACACTTTTTGACATTCAAAGCCTCCTACAATGTCCTTCTTCTTTTACAGGTCTGTCTCCTACTGCTCCATTTTACAGGTATTCTGATATAGACAAAATGGGCTGTTCACCTTCCCCTAAACTCTTTTTCTTGGATCTGGACTGAACTGCCATTTCTGGCTTGGACAGAGCTTTTTTTCAAGGCCATATCATCTGGGGTGCAGCACAAATCTCGCAACTCATTTGTCTTCCATCCTCCTAATTAAAAAAAAAAACTTTTCTGAGATATAAATGGCATATAATAAAGTACACATATTTAAAGTACAATTTGCTAAGTTTTGACATGCATATACACCTGTGAAAATATTACCACAATCAAAATAATGAACATAATTCATCACTCCTCGGAGATTCCTAGTGTCCCTTCAGTAATCCTTTTCTCCTGTACCACCCCCCCCATCAATGTCCTCTTTTTCCCTATCCCTCTCCTCAGGAAATCACTGATTTGCTTTATGTCATTATAGTAGTTTACCTCATTTTCTAGAGTTTGATATACATGGAATCATGCAGTGTGCATATTTGTTTCTGGCTTTTTTTACTCAGCATAATTATTGTGAAATTCATTCATATTGTTGCATATATCATTACTTAATTCCTTTTTTGTGCTGAGTAGTTTTTCATTGTATGGCTATACTGCAATTGTTACTTCATTCACCTATTGTTAGACAGTTGGGTTATTTCCAGTTCCTCCCTCCACTTTTTTCTTACATTATTATTATTATTATTATTATTATTATTATTATTGTTTTGAGTATGAGTCTCACTCTGTTGCCCAGGCTGGAGTGCAGTGGCATGCTCACAGTCACTGCAGTCTTGACCTGCTGGGCTCAGGTGACCCTTCTGCCTAAGCCTTCCAAGTAGCTGGAACCACAGGCATGCACTACCATGTTCCACTAATTTTGTGATTTATTGTAAAGACGAGGTCTCATCAAGTTGCCCAGGCTGGTTTCTAACCCCTGAGTTCAAGTGATCCTTCTATTTCAGCCACCGGTAGCTGGGACTATAGATGCATGTCACTGATCCCAGCTATCCATCCCCCACTTTTTAATGCACTCCAACTTTTTAAGGAAACTGAGCCTCAGAAAGGTTAATTAATTTGTCCAGGACCATTCAATAAGTAGTGGAATTGCAATCTAATGCACACTTTTTGACATTCAAAGCCTCCCACAACGCCCCTTTCTTCTTTTACAGGTTTGTCTCCGAACCCAGACCATAAACCCAGACACAATAAACTTTCTGCTTTTAGTCGGGAAGGAACTCAGAAGGCGAAGGCGCAGGCGCGGGGACCCGGGAAGGGGGGGTGGGATGATGAGATATGTACACAAATACTTATGTTATTCAAGTTGGAGAAAGTGTTAGATTTTCACATCTGTTCTCTCAGGCTCAAAACCACTCGAATCCATGCTAGGTCCTACTACAAGGGTAATCTACAGTACAGATCTGACCTTATCACTCCCCTGCTCACAAACATGCAGTGTCCTGCTTTACTGACTCTAGGTTTGCCTTCAAAAGAAAAACATAAAAATAAAAGTGAGACTTTATCAGCAATTTTTATACTGTATTTCATTTAACAATATGGTCTGGGGAGTCCCATGCTTTTAAAAGAGACTCTATCACATTAGAGCTTGTCAGTAATTCTGGCACAGGGAGAAGGCCTGAATGACAGTTCTGTTTTGGGTTTCAGAAACTGACCCTTAACTGAAAGATTGTCCCTATGACTAGGGAGACTAGATTTAATCATTTAATATGCAATTGAAAATCTGAATCTTCTGATTTTATAAATATTTATTGTCTATCAATATTATTAAACTCTGTAAGAAAGGATTCTAGGACCATTTCTTCTTGTCGACTCCTAAGCATTGTTAGGTGTGATATCATTAATTCATTCTTTCATTCAAGAATATATCGAGTAGCTGTTAGATGGCAGACAATCTGCTAGTTAGTGAGGATATAAAGTTGAACAGAACAGAGTGGTTTCTCCTTCCTGGATTTTTAATGGCTAGAAGACAAGACAAATATTAAACCAGTGATTGTATTGAAGTGTGGTAAGTATTAAGACAGGGGAAGTATAGATAGAGAGTATAATGGAGGGAGTCATAACTTGACATTGGGAGCAGGGAAGGCCTCGCTGAGGAAGGGGCTTTTAGGATGAAACCTGAGAAGGCTGGAGAGGAAGAGCTTTCCAGGCAGTGGCTGGCATGAGCAAAGACCTGGAGAAAAGTGAAACAGATCACGCCCAGGGAGCTAGAAAGAACTGCAAGAAGTTCAGTATGGACAGTGTTTAGGTGGTAAGTAGAGTGCAGCAACATGAGGTTACATAGGGAAAGTCAGATCTTGTAGGATTAGAAAAGGCATATGTAAACTCACTTTAAAGAATGCTAAATCTCATCTAAAACAATTAATAGTAATTCCTTAATTCATTAAATGTCCAGTTAGAGTCCAATTAGCTCCTGGGCTAACCTGACTATGGGAACAGAAAGGAGCTGAATGGCATTGAAAACAGAAAAAGCAAAGCCTCAGAGCCTCCTCTTATGGTCTATGATCATAAGCACTCTCTGGGGCAAATGGTACCCTGACCCTCAAATGTGTGTCTGTTCACTGCAATGGGACTTCCCTTGAGGTGGAAATGGCTGCATCTGGCCAATCGAGCTGATATAAGCGACCATGGCCACCTGCCTTTGTGTATTGCAAATAGCCTTCTTGTTATAGTTTGACTTTCTATGCAGCTCTGTCTCCATGGAGCAAGGGGTGGATCAGTGGACCTGAATATGTGCTCTTTAGATAGTTACAATTTCTCATTAGAAATTAAGAGCATGGCATCTGAAATCAGATTGCCTTGGATTGAATCTCAGTTTTTTCACTTGCTAGCCATGTGATCTTGGACAATTGCCTTAATCTTTTTGTACCTCAGTTTTCTTAGTACCTCAATTTTCATATGGAATAATAAGAATACATAGTACACCAGGTTCTTATGAGGATAAATATGTTCAAGCACTTAGAACTGGGTCTGGCATGTGTAGTAAATACTTAGTAAATGTCAACACTATAAATGATAATGATTATGATTATGGTTTATGCATTTGTCTCCTGAGAGTCTGGTCAATAGGATCCAGCCCCTAAGAGCCTTCTATTTCTGGCCTACTCAAGAAATGAAATTTCTGAGCCAGCCGGGCTTGGTGGCTCAGCCTGTAATCCTGCGCCTTTGGGATGCTGAGGTGAGTGGATTGCCTGAGCCCACGGGTTCGAGACCCGCCTGGGCAGCGAGACCTCATCTCTACAATAAATAAAAAAATCAGCCAGGCGTGGTAGCGCGTGCCCGTAATTCTGGCTACTCGGAAGGCTGAGGCGGAAGGATCGCCAGAGCCCAGCAGGTCAAGGCTGCAGTGACCGGGAGCAGCCACTGCACTCCAGTCTGGGTGACAGAGTGAGACTCCAACTCAAAAAAAAAAGAAATTTCTGAGCCTATGGAGGTGAGGACCAGAGGCTGGAATGGAGTGACCATAGACCTGAATGATCATCCTGAGACCCTGGCTGAGTAGCCACCAGCCTTCAGTCTCCTTTCTCACCTCTTCACATTGGAGTAAAATTTACAAAACACTTTCCCAGCATTTGAGACAAAATCCAAGTGGCAACTGAGTAGAAGAGGAGAAAATGGCAATCAAAGAAACAAACAAAAATCAAAGCTTGATTGCAGAACGTTTGATCACGAGCTTAAAGCTTATCCCTGAGCTTCTTGGCATTAAAGGCAAGCAGGGACTCTGATGGGCTGGAAGGGAGGAAATGTGTTGAGATACCACAGACACTCAACTTTTGTTATAAGGTGTACC